TAAAAGCAAATATTACCAATAGTATGTAAAGCTTCAATAAATCGTACAAAACCAAACCAACTAATGGATGATTCTTCCTCATGACCAAAAGGTTGGCATTTAAATGTTGATCCACAATAACCATATAATCCGATTCTGGATTCAATGTAATCAAGTGAAAAATTTATTATAGAGATTGAAGATATAATTGGAGCACTTAGGTTTACTAGAAGGAGAAAAAAAAATGAAAAATGAGAAACAATCGCCGCGATAATAAGTATAATCTTACGATCCATTCTGGTGCTTTAATGAAAAAAATGTAAGTACTGTAAATAAAGATAATTATTATTTTCTCCATACAGATCATTAAAATATTAAATACATACATGATACTTATTCAATAGTGTTGCGATTTACATTGAATAATACATAGAGAATTCTTGTATATTTATAAGAAAAAAGCTTAAACTAATAATTACGTGCTTCTAAATTTTCTTATAACAATATAAATAAAACTAAAATATATTTGATTCAGTAACTGCATAGTAATTACTTAAGACTATATAGTTAGTTATTGTTATTATGCAATTTACTACATATTAAGATTTTTATATAGAATTAAACCCAAAAAAGAAGGTTGGCTTAAGTAAAGTTAGGGTTAGAATGCTGTTATATTATTATTTATATTTATATATAAATATATATACATAAATATATATATATTAGAATACGAACAATGTATGCAGTATGTAGATTAATACATGAAACTGCCTGCTTTAAGAACCCAAAAAGACAATTTAATGATGATCGAATAAATTTGCATGAAATACTGTACGTGTTATGGTTTTCGGAAATCGGTAATGGTAAATATACGATCAAAATAGAAATCTTAAGATGCTGAAACTTATCATACAGTAAAGCTTGTTACGAAGAACAATGTTATTAGTCTGTGTTTTGAAATAGTGCTTACGTAAAAAGCTTAGCATTTTTATATATATATATGTTTTGCGAAGTTGAAATTTGGTTGTGTTACGGATGGTATAATTTGAGATTCTGATAGGTAAGTTATGTTACTCACTTTTTGGTAATGAGAGAGTTGAGCATCTGTGTTTGTTGTTACTCACAAGAAGTGTAACCTTGTATTAGGTGTGTTTATTAAAATTTTTCTTAATGTTTTAATGGATTGTTTAGAAAGATTTTCCTTATTATTGTTGTATTGATTCTCCAATCTTCTTTTTATGCCGTAATTAGTCTATTGCCTTTATAGCTTGAGGTAATGCACACAGTGTGTGCGTTGAGTTTTTGTAGTTTGTTTTTATTTACTTTTGTTGTTACTGTCTGTTCTAAATTTTGCTTTCTGTTTGTTTTGATGATGAATGGGAAAGAATTTTTTTAATTTTTCTCTAAATATAATTTCATGCTGATATAGTGTATTATTGCCAAAGATGGATATTCAAAATTTGACCCAAATTAAGCATAACTCAAGCCATTTTTCTAAATACAATTTCTATAGTACACTAACATATGAAACACAGGTACACTAGTGTGCATTAAGAATTTTTCTTTCTAAATAATTCCATTAACGTTATTTTTTGACGATAAGTAAGAACCAGGATAGCAATTTATCATGATAATGTTGAATTATCACACATTAGAATTTGTATCATTCAATTTAGTAGAATAAGTTATATCGATATAAATCTTTAAAGAAATGTAGGGCATATCCGACTTAACTAATAATGACTGTATTTCTTTGGGGATGGTAAAAAAAAACGGGCTAACCAGTTTTTTAAATCTTTTTTATTGTTTTAAGCCTTTTTTTTACAACATCAAAGTCTGAGATAAAAACTTTGCTGAAACTAAAAACATTGCTTCTGATTAGTTGACAGCTGAGAAAAAAAATTTTTAAACTTAATATATATTATATGGAAAAAAATAATAAAATTTATAAGGAGTATATTTTATCACATTTAATTTTTATCAAACTATTATTTTTTAAATATATAATTCGCCTGTCGGCCAAATACAATCATTCATCTGGTGTTAGTTTTACGTTTGTTAACATTGAAGGACCAAGGTTTATAATAATATTATTACTATTGTTAGACCCGGAACACGTGATCCACAGATGGGCGATTTCGTCATGGGATCTTCGCCGTACGACCTCAAGTCACGCCCTCCCGACTATGAAGATCTCTTGCTATACTGGGACTAGCCGATAATGATAATGCTTATATTGCATATAAGCATTATAATCGTTATAATTGCGATAATGGATATATGGGATATCGGCACCCTAAAAATAAATAATAAATTAGTTTATAAATAACATGTACGTTCGCGCAAGTAAAAAAGCGGATTCCTCCTACCTTACATATCGAAATAAGGGTTCTTCTACGAGTGACTGTAGAGAACCATTGTAAAGAATAAACCTAACCCGCATAGTGTAGTAAATCCCAACCTGATTGCCAGTAATTCCCGACGTAGTGAGGAATACTGCAGTGTTAGAAGAAATAGAGTGATAGTCTCGACGTAGTGTAGACTATCCAGGATAAGCCAGACCCAAATCGAAATCGCTCGCCAAATCTACACGCCTCTTTCGACTGAAAGCCGTTCGAACGTTACACGAAGCCGACCTTCGATTAGCGACAGACTCGCCGAATTAGGACCTCTCACTATATAACATTGAATAAGTTCTTGCGAATGGATTATTTGAAGATAAGATTGAAAGGGATTCCTGAGCTTTTCATAAATTTTTTATAACTTCCTCAAATTATACATAAGAATAAAAGATACAGACAGATAAATATATATGAAAGAAGTCTGGAAATTTCAACAAACAACAAGAAAAGAACTCTAGAAAAATTAGCAGAAATAGTTAATTGTAGTTAAATACTCAAACTACAAATAATTGTAGCTAACTGTGAAAACTATAATTAACAGTTAACTAATAAAATTGTATAGATTATAGTTAATTATAGTTAACTATTAGACAACAAATACGAATACGAATTCGATTTCGTGCAATCCGTATTATACTACAATTCGGGATAGCGCAGACTTCTAGTGAGCCGGATTTAGTTTAGTGTAGTAAACTGAAAGATAAAGGGGACAAGAAGTTGAACGTTTATATTAAAAGAGAATGGGAGAAAGGGGACGCAAACAAGAATAAGGTGGTCGATAGGTTATAGTAAACAGTCGATAGTTAATTCGGACAATGCAATAAGAGCAATAATGATTGATGCGGATCAGTGATTAGTTTAAGAATGATGTACTGATACGGTAGTCGATTGAATAATGGTTCGAATATGCGATATTCGCTTAAAAGGAATGATAGTACAATAAATAAATCTTAATAATGAGACATTCAATAACCGTGTATAAGGCTTACTAACTTATGTTTATTGGTTCATTTGATAGATCGAAGTCAGAGAAAAACTTTATTAGAGCAAAAACGGAGGGTTTAAATACAAGTGGAGATTTCCGCAACATCAAACTTTCACGTGGGACAACTTCCCTACCTACAATAATTAGCACATCCCGTTTTTACGGATCATTGATGATCGACAAAATGACTTAATATTCGTTAAAATTAAAATTAATATCAAGTTAGTATTAAGAGGTATTTACAATAAAATTGCTCAAGGAATTTTTTTAGTTAGAGCATAAAGACCGGTTTCTTATGCAAATTTTGAAATAAAGGAATAAAGGAGGTTTTTGACAAAGCGAACGTTTGCTTCCAAATTATGGTTTATTATTAGCTAATTTGTTGTCGATCATCACATGACCCGTAAAAACGGGGTCGCCCTGTACTCAGATTATGTCGATCATCGCTGATTGTAGCCAATAAAATCACAAGATCTCGTGTAACTTAAAAAAAAAATCCGATATTACTATGATAACCACATTTGATTTCTAATTAAAAGTTTTCAGCGCAATTAAAGCCTGCGCTAAACTCTGATCTTTGTGCTCTTTCGATTTGGTAATCGGCGTAACCTGTCACAGATTCAGTACGTGCCGATAATTAACTCAATAACAAACAATGCGAGAACAATATCGGGTCATTGAGAAAAACACACAGACTCCCTCCTTCCTACACCATATAAGTGACGAAAAGGGAAAACCTGTAAATCATCTCACTTAATGAATAAAATGATTTACAGTTTTTCCCTTTTCGTCACCCATATACTCTAGCAACTATAATAATTTACTCCCACTATTATAGGAAATGACATCAAGGGGCCTATCGGGAACTAAAAAGGTAATAACGTGGATCTGTTAATCACGACACTTAAACCGGTAAGTGGTTTCTCGACGTGTAACGATCTTAATCGTAATAAAACAGATATAAGATGGCTAACTATATATGGAATAACAATAGTCGGGATTAAAGAAATAAAAGTAATAAAAAAATGATAAGCATAATTGAGATTAAAAAATTTTTAAGGGTAACAACGGATTTGAATAGTCATATTATTACCAGTGTGTGAAATTCAATTTTGTCTTTATGTTCTCGCTGAGAACATTTTTTAAGTCCTTAATACCTTAATGTTCTAAAAAAATTTTAATGGTTCTCAATACAGAAAAATTAAATCTTTATAATATCAAAAAAATCCATTTAATGTTCTCAGATAAAGAACATAGTTTAATAAATTATGTTCTTAAAATTTGATTAGTGTTCTCTGAGAACAGTGAGAACATTGAATTTCGCACACTGATCATTATTATCCGTGTCACACCATTATTAAAACCACATTTTAACGTTAAAATATTTGTCATCCCTAGGTTTATATGGTAAATGCAACCACTTGCTTCAAAACTAATCAATCCAATGGTATGTTATAATTAAATATCATGAGAAATTGCTATCTTTAGTTTTCACTTATCATTATCAAATAACGCCCATGGTATTATTTAGAAAATGTCATAATTTAAAAAATGACGCGATTTAAAAAATTGCTTGAATTATTCTTTATTTAAGTCAAATTTTGAAATTATACCTTTGGTCATTCATATACAAGATGTTGTCAATTAAATATTCTGTAGTCTTATTTATAACCGCAATACTTTTTAATATCGCGAATGGAGCCAATCCAAATTATATGCTTCAACTTGTTAATGCTGAACGTAAAAAAAACAATTCACCTGCGCTGACTTTAGATTCGTATGTTTTTTATTGGTTAAATTACTTAAATGCAGTTCGATAATAGAAATAAAGAAGAGATTAAAGTAATAGATGATATTATACTTGGTTAAATATTATCTACTTAATTCTTTTTATCATTAATATAGTCGACTTACTAGGGCTGCTCAAAACCATGCTAATTATATGGCAAGCATTCAAAAGTTAACTCATGATGATAAATCGGGAAACATTGGTGATCGGATTAAAGCTCAGGGTTATAGTTGGTCTGTGGTTGGAGAAAATATTGCTTTCGGTCAAAAAAATGAAGATGAAGCTATGAAATCGTAAATATTAATCTATCTACTTTTAAGATCAAAAAATATATCCTAATTATTGATTTATTTTATTATTTTAAGATGGATGAATTCTCCACCTCATAAGGCGAATATACTTGATAAAAGATTCAAACATTTAGGTGTAGGATATTCAAGTAATGGCAATTATTGGACTCAAAATTTTGCTGCTCCAATTTAAAAAGTCTGACATAGATAAAAAAACAAGACCTTTGTATAAGAAGCCCAATATAATTATAACAAATAATATGATCAATATTTTAGTCATATATCTCTACATGGTTATATTTCTTCTTATTTGTTATCATAGTTATGTCTCCAAATTTGAGTAAAATAAAAAGTTCATGAAAATTTTTATATGTTATATACTGAGTTATATCTCAACCTTACTTATATCTTCAAAAAAATTAAAAATCATATAGAAAAAATAAATTTTGCTGTTTATATTCACAAAGGACTTAAAATTTAGGTATACTAATAATTAAAGCACAAATCTATAGAATGTTGCCATTTTTCTGAGTTAGATTACATTTCACATTGGTTTTATGTCGGAAGAAAAATCCGATTTTTACCACTAGACTAAATTAATACTCCGTTCAAAATGATAATGTTGTCAAACGAAAGCCTTTATTTAATAATTTTCGAACTGAATATAATTTTGTGTCTCATCGATGGTGTATACAATATTATGGAATGAACCTGCGAATTATTTTAGTGACAAAAGACTTATAAGAATATATCTTTTAGCATTAAATTCTGAAGAACAGATACAATTGATTCCCTTTAAAATTAAACTTCCAAATTATCCAAGGCCATTGTTTGAATATGAAATTTATATTACTGATTCAAGTGTAGTTTGCAAAACATATACACGTGATCAGTGTTGTCAATAGACAGCTTTGGACATGAATTTGGACGTCTTTGGACAAAAATATAAATTAAAATTACTCACAATTTTGTTAAGATAATACGCATATATACTTTTCTAAGTGAAAAACATCCAGAACCTAAAAAAATATATAATCGTATATTTTTAGACAAATTTATTAATTATTAGAGCTTGGACATGCTTGAACACTTGGACATTTGATGTTGGACATGGTCAAAAAAGCCTTGGACAGTGAAAATTGTATAACACTGCACGTGATAACATGCGAAGATTTTTTATTGGCTATGCCTAAATTAGGAATCTGTATCACGGAACAAAGCAATTTAAGTGACTTAAAAATCATCCCAAGTACTATTTTCATATCTTCTTGTAAATCGTCAATGGTGTAGAATTATTGTTCCAACATTGTGGAGCGAACCATTGAAATATTGTGGAGATGTAAAATTTATAATCATATACCTTTTGACAATAAATAATGAAGAAAAAGCTCAATTAATTCCATTAAATATATTACTTCCTAATAATTCAAAACTCTTATTTGAGTATACATCTTACTATTCATATCAATGATTTAAATTTAAATAGAGGAATCTTACATTATCTCTACCATGATGAATATGAGTATGAATTTTGTAAAATATGCTAAAGAGGCTAAAATAGTCTAATATTCTTTAATTAAAATGTTGGCTCGATCAAGTAAAAAAAAAAGAATTTCAATTTAATCACTAGTAAAAGTGATAGATTAGAGAAAATATTAGAATTTTTTTACGAAAGCACCACCACTATTTATTAAAAATTTCTCACACTAAATTAAATCTTAAAGCTATAAAATCATTAGCCGAAATTCTTTGTAAAATAACTATCTGGTTTCATTAAAACTTAAATATTGTGATTTTTGGTTCAGAGGGTTCAAAAATATTAGCAGAAGCACTTCGTGAGAATACTACTTTATCTACCCTTGATCTTTCCCGAAATAACTTTAATAATGATGAAGCACAAGAATTTGCGAAAGCTTTTTATAAAAACACAACTTTAACATCTTTAACACTTAATTTGCTTCCTTTTAATTTTAAAACTTACAAATGCTCTCTAGAAAATATTTCTATGAAGTCATTAAATCTTTTTAATTTTATGATTGATATTGAAGGAAGCAAGGCATTAGCTGAAGTTCTTTGCAGAGCACTAGTAAAAGTATTAGCAAACACCTTTACAAAAACACTACTCTAACTAATTTAGTTCTTTCTAATAATAATTTTCTTTTATGAAAAGGCAAGTATTAGCTGAAATTCTTTATAAAATAATACTTTAGCTTCATTAGATCTTAGTACAGTCAACCCTCCGTAAATGCACCTCCCTTGGGACTATAAGCAAAAATTTTAAACATGTGCATTTATGGAGGGCATTTTATTAAGTGCTATATATGCTTGGGACTGAAGATTAGTGTGCATTAGAGAGGGCATACATTGTGTGTACATTTATAAGGGTGTATTTATGGAGGGTTGACTGTATTAATTCGCTTGGTTATGAGGTAGTAAATGTATTGGTAGTGTTACAGGGTAATTTGTATTCTTTCGTTTAGTATTAGATTTTTATATTGACTCAGGAACACGTGATACAAAACTGTTTAATGGTAAATGGGATTTTAAGTTCTCGCCAGAGACGTGATAATAGTGATTTAGCGAATAAGTGTTTTATTATATATATTTTTTAGTTTTTTTCTTTTACAACTCAAAGGTCTGTTTCTTTTTAGAAAGGTCAAATCTAGTTTTTTTATAACTTTTTATGCTAAGGTGTAAGGAGCTTTGGTAAATAAGTTATTCTTTTCACGACCAAGACAGGTGGCTTTTTACATGATAAGCTTATACATTGTTTTCTTTAATTTAATAATAATTTGATTAAAGCAAGATTTATGGATCACATATTTTAAAGTAAAATGTCACTTATTTTATTTAAAATCGGAAACCAAGTCCTTAATTTTGAATCACCTTAATATATATTAAGTTATTAAATGATAATTATAATAAAATAAGTATCTTAAAAGTGACAATAAGTTAATCCAGCCTCTTTAAAAAAAGAAACAAATCCCCATACATAAATAATTATCATGCTTAAATAATGTAAAGCATACTTTTGATTAGTTTATGCTTAATGCAGCTTACTAACACATATACTGGCGATCATAAATAATGCAACAAAAAAAAAAATTAGTCAGATCGTATTATCTCACGCAATTCCAGATGTATTTCTTAAATTTTTTTTTTATTTTATTCGCAAATAGCAATATTATCATTAATAAAAAGGATTTAAAAATTTAATGATTAAAATTTTTTGGGGGCACAAGCTTTGTTTCAATATACGTGTTACATTATTTTTGCTTGTTTTAACAGCAACATGATTGTAAAACTAAAAAAATTTTTTTTTGCATAAAAAAAAAATTTTTTTTTCTAATAATTTTCAGCTATCACCATCTGGTGTAGCCATCCCAGGCTCTAATTACATCACGGATTCATTCTGGCATTGAACAAATTAACCTCATGCAGGTTTCAACATCGATTGCCTGCCAAATCATCTAAATTTTTTTCCAGAGGTCTTTTTCACTTGAAATTTGATCAGGGAGGTCTCTAAGTCAATGATCAACTTCATCTCATAAGTGTTCGATCAGGTTTATATCAGCTAATTGGGGAGGCCAATTGAAAAACTTTATCTTCTTCCTTGTAAGTCAATGTTTGATCAAGGTTGCTATATGACAATATGTTCCATCTTGTTGAAAAACAACTTTACTGACTTCAAATCCATGATCTTCAATCATCCACATCAAATCTTCATGGAGTATCTTTAGGTACAGATCTGTATCTATCGTATCATTGATCTTACAATAGCTGCTAACATCATGAGAAGTAAAGCAACCTCAAATCATAATTGATCTGTCATCATATTTCATAATAGGCTTTATATAGAACTGATTTAATGGTTCTCCATGATGTTTCTAATAGTACTGCTTACCATCTGACCCAAAAATTTGATATCTTGACTTATCCAACCAAATTACCTTGGACCAATCTTCGACGATCCATTTTTCATATTTTTTTGCAAAAGCGAGTTGTATTTTTCGATGACTATTGTTCAGGTAGGGTTTTTTTTTTATTCCTGACACTAAACCATGGTTTTGGAATATCCACCAAATAGTAAATACTGAAATTTCAATATCTTCATTTATTTAGAGGTGGGTCTTCACTTCAATGGTAGTAGAACAGTGACAGGAGGTAATTAAATTTACTATTCTTCTTTGGATTGGTTCATCCAACAAAGTTGGATGACCAACTCTTCCTAAATCTTCAAGTGTGTAGTTTGTTAACCACTTTTTTCTAATTCGCGAGACTGTGGAAAAGTTAACATGATGGACCCAACCTACTGCTCTTGTGGTGTACCCTTTTTGAAGGGAAAGCAATATTTGGGCTTGTTTGACGGAAGTTGTACAGTTCTTTTTTTTTGATTTGTAAGCAATTCTAACATTACACAAGATGCAGAATCAACAATGAAACTTCCATTTTTATATGTTTTATGTGGCACAACTCACGCGATCTGATCTTTGTCAAAAACGATCAAAAATAATGCAACACGTGATTTGTAATAAATTCACAATTATCTTCGCATTGGTAATAATAACGATTATTAAAATTTTGCTATCTAAAAAAGATAGTATTTGTGAATAAAATAAAATAAAAATTTAACAAATACGCCTGGAATTGCGTGAGATAATACGATCCGACTAAATTTTTATTTTTGTTGCATTATTTATGATCGCCAGTGTATAGTAATATCCTATCTCACATAAATCAGAGAAAACCTTGCTTATAGTCAATATAAATATGCCTATTGTTTTAATTCATTTTAGAACAGCGTTACAAGTGTGTTTTTATAAAATTTATTAATATATACTGATACTTTTATTATTAGACTTTACAGTAAAATTAATCTTATTGTTCCAAATTTGTAATATTTTAGGGTATTATTCTTACCAGGTGCATCTTCCAATGCTTTTCTAATGTCTGAACCAAGATTATTACTACTAAGATATAAGGAAGTCAGCATCTGCCAATGCTTTTCCAACGTCTGAACCAAGATTATTACTACTAAGATAGATATAAGGAAGTCAGCGTAGTGTTCATCTGCCAATGCTTTTCCTCCTTCTAATCCAATATTATTCTTACCAAGATCCAGATAAGTCAGCGTGATGTTACTGCAAAGTGTATTTGCTAGTGCTTTTCCTCCTTCTGATTTAAGATTATTATTCGAAATACTTAAAACAGTCAGCGTGTCCTCCCTTTGGTCCAAGATCATTATCGCCGATATACAAAAGTAATCAGTGTGGTGTTACTGTAAAGTGCATTTGCTAATTCTTTTCATCCTTCTGAACAAGATTATTATTACCAAGATACAAAGAAGTCAACGTGATGTTTTCGCAAAGCGAATTTTCTAATGCTTTTCCACCTTCTGATCCAAGTTTATAGCTTTCAAGATTCAAAGTAATCAACGTAGTGTTCTTGCAAAGTGCATCTGATAAACTTTGGTTTATTAAAAGTGCTGTTAAGTGTTAAATGTTGAAGATTTTTACGTTTTCGCAGAAACATTGCAACTAAAGAGCTTTTGATAGTATTTGCAAGTTCATTTTCCCATAATTTACATCATTATATCCTTCATTTTTAAGCCAATTGTGATACCAAGGCTAAATCACGATCAACAGATTTAATATAATTTTCGTATTCAAATAATGGCCTTGGATAATTTGGAAGAATAATTTTAAAGGGAATCAACTGAACTTGTTCTTCAGAATTTAATGCTAAAAGATATATTCTTATAAGTCATTTATCCTTAAGATAAGGTTCACACCATAATATTGGTACAATAAATCTACACTATCGACGATTTACAAGAAGGCATGAAAATAAGCTTTTGTGATTAGTTCGAAAATTATTAAATATTTCAAAAAGGCATTCGTTCGGTAACATTATCATTTTAAAGGTGTATGAATTCAGTATAATAATAAAAAATCGGATTTTATTTCCGATATACAATAAATGTAACATGTGAAGCGTTGTAATATAATTTAACAAAACGGTGACATTTTATAGAAACTTTGTGTATATATAATCGAGGGTTAGGTAGACATTACTTATTATGCGCACCCGCATGGTTAAAAATCAATTTATAACATGTGACAATTTATGGTTATGATTGGTCAATGAACCTGTCGATTGTTTTTTATTCTATAAAAAAGCACTTCTAAAGTATATTTATTTTAAAAAGTGGTCTTATCTAAAGTCAAGCTGATTAAAGATCTTTGTAACCTATTTTTAGGTCTTAAAAGTGTGTTTAAAAAGCTACAAATTTATATAAATTTTATTGCGATTTCTGTTGTGTGTTATGCAACTTTTCTTTTGTAAAAAAAGTTTTGTTTAAAATTGAATTATTTATATTGTACAACATGGTTGTCCCTAAGAGTGCTAAATGTTTAAAAATATATAGTATTCATAAATTTTATTTAGTACCTATTAAGGACGGCTCCGAAGGTAGGTACTTTCGGTACCTACTGAAATTGAAAGTCTACCGAAAGTACTTTCGAACAGGGTTTTATACCGAAAGTCGAAAGTCCTACAGAAAGTCTCAATTTTCGAAAAATATCACGTAAGGTAGACTTCAACAAAGGCCAATCATATGCTTTTTGTTTTGATTTTAAAATATCTGTATCAAGGTATGATTGGCCTTTGTCGAAATTTGTCGAAGTCTACTTTCAGTAAGGCTTTCAACTTTCGGTAAGACTTTCGACTTTCGGTATGACTTTCAGCATGACTTTGGCACGCCAAAATACTTTCGGGGCTATCCTTATTTTCGGCACTCTAAAATACTTTTGGAGCCATCCTTAGCCACCACTCAATGAAATCCGATAATTTTTTTATTTTAAAACTTTTTGTTTAATAGAATTCAAATAAAAAGTTCATTGAATTTCATTGGGTAGTTGTCGAGATATCTTTGATCAAAATCAGGCAAAATTTTATCACGGCTTATATTTTGATAAACGTTTAAATGTTTTCTAAAACTGTGATCGAAGATATTCTCGACACCTACCTTATGTAGTTTTTTAAATAACAAAAAGTTCCTTGAATTTCACTAGGTATCTTTAATTAAATCAAGCAAATTTTTATCGCGACTTATATTTTGATAGACGTTTAAATTTTTTTCGACAACTACCCGATGAAATTCTTTTTTATTGAACTCTACAAAATAATATAATACAAATAAAAAAGTTAATTGAATTTCAATAGGTAGGTGTCGAGATATCTTCGATTACAGTTTTAGAAAAAAATTCAAACGTCTATCAAAATATAAGCCGTGAACCTGATTTTGATCTAAGATATCTCGATAACAATCCAATGAATTTCGATGAACTTTTTTTAATTTGAATTCTATCAAACCATAGGATCCAAACAAAAATTTTTATCGAATTTCCTTTAGTGGCTGTTGAGTTAACTTCGATCACATTTTTGAAAAAAGTGTGTAAACATCTAATATCATGTGATTAATATGCTATTATCTGATTGGCTGGGATGAAAGAATTTTTCGTTTAATTTAATAGATAATAATGACGTAATCTTTTTTGTTTATTTTGTTAATATCAGAGAATATTATAGTTGAGATCTTGGTATAAATTTTTTTTTAATTTTTCATTTATCAAACTTCATTAGTTTAGTTTGAAGAATAATTTTGCCGGTTACCTCTACTGCATGACATATTATTTGGTATTACGTAATGTTTTGTTTATCAATGAAACTTTTTTTGGTTTTAATAAAAGCTTGCATGAAAACATTCTCTAATTGGTTTAAAATTTTTATTTTAGCATTAATAAGACCTAATAAATAAATAATTTTAAGGGTTTAAGTTCTGAATGATATACTGTAGTAAGAAGGTAAATCTACAAATGCTTATTAGCCTACAATTTATGCATGAATAATGTATTATTTAGATTTGTGCATCAAATCTCCTTATTCTAACAACTTTTTGACTATGCAGTATATAATCACATTCACGTTCCGAATATTTTTTCTATCGTCAAAAAAAAATTAATTAATTAAATACGATATGTCAGAAAGTCGTTTCTTTACACAACAAGATGGATCAAAAATCGCATACAAGATTTTTGAACCTGAAAATATTAAAAATGAGGTTCCTCTTATAATGATAATGGGATTGTAAATATTACAAAATATTGTTGTTTTGATTTTTTGATAATAGTTTTCGACATTCTTAATTTAACCGTAATCTGTAAATTTAACATGTTAGTGCTGGAACTAAAGAGATTTTTTTGGGCTTCGAAGAAGGTCAATTATTACAATCATTCTATTATATTTAAGAGAAACGTATATATGGTTGATTATGTAACTAATTTAAAGTATCATTTAAATTATCATTAGAATTGGCAAAAAACCAAACTGGTTAGTCATCAATATCGATAAAATGTGAAAATTGGTCATAAATTTCAGTATGGCACCTTTTATATTAGCAAATACAATCAAAAATCATGAACCTTAGTTGTATAGCTTTTTTAAGTAGTGTTGGTCATTTTGGGTCATACTCAACTTTATATGATCGAGGTGGTCATAATGCAGTAGTAAATTTTATAAGTCATTACAATGTCATAAGGTTATAACCTATATTTGCCAATAGGTCATAGGCCAACACTGGTTTGGAGTGAAAACAGAATTTGAAATTTCATAATAAATTCATGATTTTGTTGTAGGATTTATTGTATATAACCTTACGTTCCAACCCTAAATCATAAGAAATTCCAAAACCACACAAATTCTATTCCTACTTACAATATAGTTGTAAAACATCTGTTAAATTTGGCAAGATTACACGTTTGAAATATTTAAGATTTGAACACTTCACATGGTTCCTTATGCTCAGCTAAGCAAGTTTTGATTGAAAGCAACATGGCTTCAGAATCTTGCGTAATTCTTAGAAATTGTAATATTGAAAATTTTAGTCGTATATGTCGTGATTTTGCGTGCAATGTTATGTAATATTGACTTTCAGGATTCAAGGCTTTATGGTTTTATGTGATACTGATATTCTTGATTTACTATTTATATAATACTTAAATGTTAGCTATGATGTTTTCATAAACATTTATTCATAACATTAATTCTCAAATTGATTATTTATTAGTACTTATATTTGATAATCGTGGAATTGGAGAATCAACTGTTGCTTCTTATGATGACCCTATTACGATTGAACTAATGGCTCAAGATACAATTGAATTAATTAGACATCTTGAAATTAAAAGATTTAATTTATTTGGAGGGTCTATGGGTGGTAATGTTTAAATTTCAAATATTTATTATTCCTTTTAATGATCATAATGTTTTTTTAATACAATCATTTTAATTTAAGTTGTTTATTTTTATCTATTAAATGTAAAAAAAAAACTTTATAGGTAATATAGCACTTTGTATTGCCTTGAATGTTCCATCAGATATTAAGTTGGAGAAATTAATTATTGGCGCAACGTAAATACTTAGATACGTAGATTGATTGATTATTTATAATTCATATTTGGAATTAACTTCTTTTATTTTCTATTAAAGTTTTGCTCGTATCAGACCAGATCTAAAACTATATCAGAGTCTTGAACGACTTTATAAATTACCAAACATGGGTCATCCTAAAACTATTCAAGAACAAAAGGATATCCTTCTTAAGTCAGATAAGGATATAGTCAATTATCAACTTAAACATCCTGATAAGTTTGATAAAATTGCAGAAATTATAGTTAACACCAACACTGAAATTTACAGTATGTATATATACACATATATATTATTTAATATTTATTAATACTAAAGCTATATATTTATAGGACGTCAATGGGAAGCAGTAAAACAGTTTGACATAGTTTCAAGACTACAAGAAATTAAGGTTCCAACTTTGATAATTCACGGTGAAATTGATGACGTAGTTCCTATTGGAGAAGGTGAATTACTTGCTCGTGAAATTCCTAATGCTCAATTTTATAAAATTCCTAAAACTGGTCATAGGTAAATATATATATATTCTTTTTTAACCAATTTTGTTAAAAAAATATCCTTATTTAAAGTTATAATTTATTTTATTTAGCATTTATATAATGGCATCAAATTATATTCCTGTCATTGATGAATTTTTGAATAATTAAATCTACTAAAAAAATTAATTGGCTGGATTTGAGGAGTGCGAAACGAAAGCTACTCTACGGAATTTCTGAAATGTCCAGATCCAATTCAGCTGTTCTTGATTTAGGTTCAGCATCCATTAATTGAACAAAAATTAAATTCAAGTTTTAGATACTAAAATCTTAACTTCAAATATTAAAGGTCTTAGTTTAAAGTGTAAAATTGATTTTTAATAAAATAATTTTTGCTTAAAATTTAATAATAACCGGCATTTAATAAAGATTTAAGAAAGTACGTAATAATGTTTAAATGTTTATTAAGTTATGCACTATAGTATTTTTTTGATGTAGAACATCTAGGGAATCGGCAAGCCTAAAATAATTTTGTATACCATAGTGTTGTAAAGTGAAACCTTGGGGTTTCACCACAGACAAAAGCGAAACTAATTTCGCCTTCACTCAAAAAAAAATTAAAATAGAAAAACAGACAAAACTGCTAAAAAGTGACAAAGCTTGAAAAGGTAGTAAAAGAATTAAGAATAGAAAGGTAATTAGAGAAAATTAAATTTTTTATATAATTGTTAATTTTTTAATTCTATATATTGTCACCATCGAATGCGAGAACTTCTAATAATCATGATAAGTTTAACTCCGATAGTTGGTGTGAGAGATAAAGGAATCTGATAATAATTTTGGAATTCAGATTTTATATAATTTGTGTATTTATTTAAAGCTAATTTTAGAGAGTGTATATTAAGGATGGGAGCAACTCTTTAAATATATTCTATTTCTTTCGCACTATGTTAAGATTATAGTATCTAATTATTAATTTTTATTTACACATGTTTTTATTAAGTATCAAGTTTATGCAACTGTGTATATGTTATACCCAAATAACAATCTAGTCTTGACTGTTAATTGGGACGGCCCAAATAAAAATTGGCCTGATCTAATCCTAACATCTAGACTAAATTAATTTGCATTTTGGCCATATTGAAATTTGAGAAAATTGTAATTTGAGGCATGACATATACATACCTAAAGAAAATTCATATAGGTTAATGTTTAATATTATAAAAATAAGATAAGCTGTCAATGGAAATACAAAAATGGAAGATGTATAATATCTTAATGACAAGGTAAATATGAAATGAGGTTTATAAAATGTTACAATATACTTAATATATATTATCTATTATTATTTATATTATATGTATTACAAACACTTTGAACTTTTTTTAAATATAATTATAAAATTGTAATATAATCATTTTAGAAACTTTTAATTTTTTAAAATATAATTACAAGGATACAATATAATTAATAAGTCTTATAAGTTTCAAGTAACAATATCAACTTCACCTCATTATAATATTATTGCAATATAAAATAATGTTATTTTTGTTGTTTTTATAAATAATACTTTGTAAATTTGTTTAAGTAATTTGATATATTTTAATAATATTTTTAAAGATTCTATCAAATACTACTAAATTTATTGTAATATAATTTTAACATATTAGCATTTATATTGTGATGTAATATAAATATAACTTTTTAAATTTTAGCAAAAACACGTTTGTATTTTCAATTTATTGCATATAAAAACTGAATAAATATGCTCATAAATTTCTAATGTAATTGCTAAATTTGAAAATATAATCACAAAAAATATTATACAAATATCAAAAAGTAAGTCAAAGAATATTATATAGAGAATATTAAAAACTATTCAAGCTAGTAATAATTATAATAAAACTCACAATGCAATTTAAAATAATCTATATTATTTTACTAAAAATCAATTCATTATTAATTTATTTTACTAACAATCAATTTACTTACAAGTTTATTTCATTAATAATTATTTTAATAACAGCTTATTTTACTAACAAGATTTTTTAAAAAATTGCTTTAATTTTACCTCTAATTTTAACTTGACTCTAACAAAAATGACCAGAATTACTTTGTTAATAAAATAATTGTTGGCAAAATAACTTTAAGTAAAATAAACTTATTGGCAAATTAACTGTCGGTGATATGGGTTGTTGGTAAAGTAATTGTCAGTAAAATGATCATCATCCGTTTAAAATTCTAATTTAAAAAATATATATATTAGTTGAAATTTAATAATGCATAATAATAATAATAATAATAATAATACTAATAATAATAATAATAATTATTATTATTATATATACTAGAAGTGCTAAAATCATAATTACTGTTAGATATATAAATTATATCTTTATATACAACTCAAACAGGTAGTTTATTTATTTTAAATTTAGGTAGTTCAGCAACTGGGATAATATAATGCTTGCCTTTTTAATTAATATGAATATATTCTTTAAGTTGAACCCAACTAATATTTTTCATCAGATTCATTAACTCCTATAGCTCGATCAATTTTTTAATAATGTAGATAGCCTAAAAAGTAATTAGGTTAATAATATAATACCAGCATTTGAATTAAATCATTAAATTAACTAGTCTAAGTAAATTTTTTTGACACTAAAAATTAAGACCCTAAATAGTTACTGTTATACATTCATAAAAATTAGAATACAAACATAGTAAGTGACGATCAGTAAATAGATAACTCCTCTAAATATAAAACTTTAAAAATATTTTAATTTTAAAGATAACTTTCTATTACTCTTTTGAAGATAGAAATAATGTTTGTGCCAATTGTTGCTTGTGTAGTTTTATATTCTCAAAAGTACTTTAAATAGTATAAATAAGTGTATAAATAAGTCAATTTCTACCCATGAAATTCTTATATTAATAAAGCAAAACGAAGTTTTATATTTCGTAGTTTTTTAATTAATTACATGGGCATGTGCTATTTTTTAGAATGGATCAAGAAAATTGGGACAGATAGGTTAAGAACAATGTTTGTCAGGATAGGTCAAAAAATATGAGTTAGATGGGTCAAAAATAATGTTTTTACGAGTCAGTAGGATTATGCAAAAAGAAAAATCAGCATTGCGTTATAACTAGAGTTCTGTAAGTGCCGGCATGTAATATTTATACATAGTGGCAGGTAAGGGTATGAGTACTATGTTTTAATATTACATTCCAGCATTGCAAAACCCTAGTTAAACCAAAAAAATTTAAATAAATTTATTTAACCAATCACTACATAATTTTATTATAGTACTTGCGCAGAATTTTTGCGAGACTGCGCAGTGTGAATTTTAAAATTAAGACTTAGCTAGCATGATTCTGTCTAGTTAGTATAATTCTGGTCGACTTGCATAATGCTGCAGGCTGTGCAGTTGATTCAATTTGCCCCATAACTGTCACTATCTTGGAGCACTATAAAAAATGTCGTGAGAACAATTTTACTTAGAATGCTTAATTCTAATCTTATTTTTCCAAATAAGGACATCGATGGTCGATACGGTCAACTCTCGTTATATCGACATAGTCGGTATATCAAGCGAAACAGGCATCTATCCATATATGCTTAAATTGCAGATCGGTAGTACGTATTTATTTCCAATTTGATGCACAATAAAAGCCAGGCAGCGTGGTGCTACTAGTTGACAATTATATAAATTGATTTACAGAAAAGCACACTTAAATTATCCGCTACTTTCATATTACTATATTACTATATTATTGCCGTTTAGGAGTTCTTAACTGACCTAAAAATTATACTTATTAAAAAAATGGTAGTAAAGTTCTTTGATAAACTTTCCGATAATTATCTTGAACTTCTTGAGGACAAAGAAGATTTTAATCTAGTTATCAATGTTGGTGAATCTCCAAACTCTAAAATTTTCCACGCACATTCAGCAATTTTGAGATATAGATCTTTATATTTTCGTAATGAATTGACAAATATAAGTAAAAATGAGAATAATATTAAAATACTCGATTTAAAATATGTTTCTATCCAACAATTTGAAATTATCATCAAGTAAGTTATTTTATATTACAACTATCTGTCTGTATACCTTTTTATCAATTGTACCTATAATATGAAGTTTTATACCTATCACCATGCAAATTTGCCCAAGTAATTTGTGTATAGAAATGGTTTAATTTCATAAAAGTTCTTCTAAATCAATCTATCTCTTATACAAAAGAATTTAAGTTAAAGGATAAAAAAAATAATAGGTGTGATAACTTCATAGGTGCATTTCATTATAGTATGTTGCAAAAAGTAATCTAATATACATGTACTTAAACTTAATTAATACAAAGGTATGTCTATGGCGGTGTGGTTTTACTTGAAAATCATGATGCATCATTTATTTTTGATCTCATGCTTATTGCATACAAATTTCTTCTTGAGGAATTAGCAATATATCTTGAAACTTATTTAATTGAAGCTAATGATCATTGGCTTCGTTTACATTTTGCTTATGTTTATCAAAAAAGTTTTGAGAATAATAAGATTCAAGAATTACAAAAATGGTGTAATAATATTATAGTAAAATATCCTAAAAAGATTTTTGATTCAGAAGACTTTGTCTCACTTCAAGAAAATGCATTGGTCTCACTTATTAGTCGAGATGATTTACAAATGGATGAAATAGATGTTTGGAATTATGTTATTAAATGGGGAATTGCTCAAAATCCTCGTTTACCATCCAATCTTAAAGAATGGTCTCATGAAAATTTTCTGGCTTTAAAGACTTCTCTACAAAATTGTTTGCCTCTTATCCGTTATTTTCAGATTTCTGGTAATGATATTTTTAATAACGTGAAGCCATATAAAAAAATTCTTGGAAAAAATCTTTGGGAAGATATAAAAAAGAAACTTATGACTGACCAACCAATATTATCATCAACTATTCTTCCACCTCGTATAATTTTATCTCAAAATTTACCAACTAGAATTATTGATCCATTTTCAAAAATTATTAATGAAGCACATGCTGCTGAAATTGCCTCATGGATCGATAAAAAGGAAAATATATATTCCTTAACAAATAATCCATATGAGTTTAAATTAATTCTTCGTGGAACTAGAGATGGCTTTACTACTAAAACATTTTGGGATTTATGTGATAAGAAAACAAATGTTGTTGTAGTCATGAAGGTCAAAGACACAGATGAAATTCTTGGTGGATATAATTCTATTGGATGGTGTAGATTAACTGAACCAAATGTTAAATATCATTTTAGAAAATGTAATGATAGCTTTGTGTTTTCATTAAAAAATGGAATTATTCAAAATTCTATTTTGAGTCGTGTAATTGCTACAGATCATGCAATCCAATGTTGTCCTTCTAATTCTATTATTTTTGGTTGGGGTACTCTTGCTATGTGTAATGGTCCTAATCAACACAATGGAAGTTGGACTTATGAGGAGGGTACTTATGAAAAACCAATTAGAAATAAGTCTACCTATGTTGGTAATTTATCACAGTTTTCAATAGATGAATATGAAATATTTCAAATTAATAAAAAATAATTCGAATTATTAATAAAACATATGTAGTTAAATTTTTTTATATAATATACAAATTTAAATTAATATACTTATTTTGGGTTTTAAACTAAAAGTCAGGATTATACATGTCATAGAAATTTTTTTTTTTCAGCATTGCTGAAAGTATTTCATTATTGATTTTTAATATAAATTGCTGAGTTATTTCTGAAATAACTCAGAAATTTCATGTCACAAATCAATACCAAAATAGTTTCTATGACATGTATAATCAGGATACTACTGGTGAGATTCCAGTTGCTAAGACACTTCTGATGAAATTCTGGTTGTTAAAACACTTTTGGTAAAATTTCAGTTAATTAAAACAAACATTCGGACATACTATGAACTATCTTTGACACTAGCTAAAGCTTTTCACTCAACTTTATATAATAATTAGCATCTAACTTAATCTAATATAAAACATAAATCAGAATTTAACAAGGTCAGACACAAATAAATATAATATATAAAAATATATTTATAAAAATATAATATCAACAGTCTAAGATAATTTAGACAGTCTAAATAATATCGACAGTCTATAATTATATTGGCAACCAAAAAAAAATTAAACAGTCGGTGCTTTGAAATGCCATGAAGTAAATGCCAAAAAAATTTCGGTATCAATAGTGTCAGAGGTAAAACCGACACCCCATAGAACCTGCAAAAATGGACGTCATTGTGGCATACTTAGCTAATTGGAGGTGCCCATGACGATCCATCTGTAATATGTGCACCCGGCCCCAAAGAAGCCATATGAAAGTACACAAGCCTCCATGCGGGACCCCACCACCCCCTCAAATTAAAGTAAGGTCGACCTGGACTAACCTGTTGCGCTGGGAATGGACGTTGACTCCACCTACCTTACTTGGGTTAGGTGTGAGGCGATGTCAAGGGGGGTGTGATTGAAGACGACATGATGGGTTCTGGCCCCGGGATAATGAAACTGAAACATTTCTCATCGGTTCTATGAAAGCCGTGAGAAATGTTAAAGCAAACGAAAGGCTGTGTGAAAGGGGTTAAAGGCTATAACAAATAAAGTTGGGAATTTTTAGGAATAATGAGAAGAGTGAGAAGAGTCGTGGTCTTGTGCGGGCTCTTCTCGCGCTCAATTCATTATAAAAAGGGTGGAATTTCCCCCTTCCAAGAGCTAAGTTAAGTTCAGAATTAAGAACCGCCCCGAATAATATAATAATATAATTGTATTGCCCCTACAAAAATAATAGAGTTAATAAACCCTTTTTAACTTGTAAAATAAACCAACGCTCTTTTAAAATCATTTACTTATCTTATAACGTTACTCATTGATCGCCTCGACCTTGTGCCAAATCGTAAATCCGCTTCTATCATCCTTGAGGAACGTTACACGGCATAATCGTATTTCAAGCAGCATTTGCCACATCTCTGAACCCGCCCGTCACAATAGTTAGATACCCATGTATATCCATCCCTGCTAATTTGATAGCTCCAATTCCAATTCCATTAAAATGTTACCTGGAGTATATGTTCTATCAATATTCTCAATCTCTACAAATTTTTGAAAAATTAATTAATATTTTAGATAATTTTCAATTTCAATTACTTCATCATAATCAATATCCAACAGTAAATGTTTCAATAGCATCACCCATTACTGCTACATAAATGGTTCGGTAGTATGGTTTAAATAATTTACAACTGATTTTGTACATAATAATAAAACTCGGAATAATATACTAAGAAGGTAAATCTATAAACGCTTATTTGCGTTAGTCAATTCAATCATGCATGATTATACATTTTGACGTATTTAATTCCAAGACTTGCTCTTTATTGCATAGCATATAAATATAACCATACTCTCCAAATATTTTTTTATTTCGATAAAAAAAATTCAAATACAACATGCATAAAACTCGTTTCTTTGAACAACAAGATGGATCAAAAATTGGATACAAGGTTCTTGAGCCTAAACATACTAAAAATGACATTCCTCTTGTATTAATCATGGGACTGTAAATATTATAGTTTTAATAGCATTTTTACTATATTTCTTTGTTTAACCATAGTCTGTAAATTTAATATTTTAAGTGGTGCCACTAAGGAGCATTTTTTAGGCTTTGAAGAAGGTTAATTACAGTCTTTCTTATTATGTTTAAGAACAGTTTATGCGATTTATTATTTAATTAACTAATTTGAACTATCACTAGAATTGGCAAAAAATCAAACAGGTTAGCCATTAATATTGATGAAATGGGCAAGTTGGTCATAAAACTCAGTATGGCGATGTAAAATAAGACATCTACTTTATTACAATAGTATTGGCACGCTTTGATTATATATATTGTCCTTTACGCTAGGCTAAGCAATTTTTGTAAATCGTAATATATTGAAAATTACTGAGTTATAAGTGCAGCCATTGTGCGCACAGAGCTATGTTTATATTACTGCATTATAATAGCTTTTAGGGTTTTGAACTTTATTACTTTATAGATTTATGATTTTATATTTTTTTGATTACTATTTATTCGTTAATTGCCTTTTGTAAGCATTTATCTTTAATTTTTAAATTAACTATTGATTAGTAATTACATTTGATAATCGTGGGATTGGAGAATCGACCGTTGCTTCTTACGAAAGTCCTATCACGATTGAATTAATGGCTCAAGATACAATTGAATTAATTAGACATCTTGGAATTAAAAGGTTTAATTTATATGGAGCGTCTATGGGTGGTAATGTTCAAATTTTAAAAAATTTTCAAGATTTCTTTTTAAAGATAATAATGATTTTTTTTTAATAGTTATTTTAATTAAAATCGTTTATTTTTATCTATTAAATGTGAAAAACTTTATAGGTAATATAGCACTTTGCGTTGCCTTGAACGTTCCATCAGATCTTAAGCTAGAGAAATTAATTATTGGCTCAGGGTAAATACATAGATTGCTTCATTAATTTGTAATATAAATTTGTAATTAACCTTAATTTCTATTAAAGTTTTGCTCGTTTTAAAACAGATACAAAATCATACGAGATAGCTGAACAAATTTATAACTTACCAAAAATGGAATATCCCAAAACTATTCATGAACAAAAGGCCATGCTACTTACGTCAGAAAAGGATTTAACTGATTATTTACTTGAACATCCTGACAAATTTGATAAAATTGCGGAAATTATGCTTAAAACTAATGCTAACCGTTCATTTGAAATTTTAAGTATGTATACATTACATTATATATTATTTAATATTTATTAATACTAAAGCTATATATTTGTAGAACGACAATGGGAAGCAATCAAACAATCTGACTTAATTTCAAGGCTGCAAGAAATTAAAGTTCCAACTTTGATAATCCATGGCGAAGTTGATGAAATCGTTCCTATTGATGCAGCTGAATTACTAAATCGTGAAATTCCTAATACAAAATTTCATAGGATTCCTAAAGTCGGGCACAGGTAAATATAGTTATTTTTCTGTTTAAAAACTTTGTTAGAAACTTCCTAATTTAAAATTATCTTATTTAGTATTTATATAGTAGAATGTGATTTCGTTTCTATCGTCAATGAATTTTTAAATAATTAAAAACTATTAATTGTTTGAAGCTGCGGGAAGCGAAATAAAAACACTTAAACCTTATTATACAAAGTTTTTGTAATGTCTGGTTTCTGTTTCAATTGGTCTTTATTTAGATTTGTCATTCAGAAATTGAACAAAATTAGGTTTTAAGTTCTGGATAAAATATTATGTAGTAGCTGATTTTAGTTCAAAATTGAATAGCTGAATTTTAGCAAAAGAACCTTTGTTTAAGCTATAATAATAACAGGCTTTTAACATAAAGAGTTTATTTTTAATGGATTAAACATCAAGATGCAATCATCATTGTTGGAAATTATATCTAAGGTTAGTATAAATCCATGAATAGGGAAGCATAGAGATGTTAAGTATTTAGAATAGAATTATATTGACTCAGTTCGAAACTCAAGCCATTTTTGTTTGAGCCAAAACTAGCTAGTTTATCATGTCTGTTGAAACTATAACTTGTCATTGATGAAGACTAGAGATGTGAAAATATTAGCCAATTGATAACAGTGATTCATTCATTTAACCTAAAATACGTACTTACGTACGTACTATTGGTTGATTTAATTATTTGACCGAACCCCGCCGTATCCGGATGTTATGGGAATAAGTATAAATCAGAAAGCTAATGTGCAATAATCGTCATTGGCATAAGTCATAATGGGTCTACAAGCATAGCTCTGTTAAATATAGCATAGATGTAATATTTAAACTATATAGTAGTATAAATGGATAAAGTTTTTAAGTACGTATTTATTTACAAATATTCTTGTTTTTAATTAAACCATCAAAACTAAAATACAATGAATTTATATCCCAATTTCCATTTAATCTAACTTGCACAATTTGCAAAAAGATTCTCTGGTACTGACATATTCGTAATTATAGATTTTCGCTCAATCAGTTGTGTGGCCATACCTTTGACAGAGTGCCAATGCATATGACAATGCATAAACCATACGCCAGGATTGTCTATAGGATAACGGATTACAGTTGTACTGCAAATAGTGAAACATTCATTTGGCTTTGTATCAGATCCATAAATTAGTAAATACAGTATATTTAAACATTAACTACGTACCTATTTCCTAAAACAGTTACTATATCACGATAAACAGGATCAATTAAATTAAAATCCGATGGATCTGGAGGTTCAATGCCAGTTTGATTTTCTCCATTATACATAACGAAAAAGCTATGTCCATGCTATTTTTTATTTTATTTTAGAAATCTGCTTTCAAAAAATAAAAAAAAATTTAATAATAAAAACGATTAAACTTACTAAATGAAACGGATGAGAATGAGTGTGATTAATTCTAATATAGATATCAACAGCCTCATTTTTACAATCCTTAGTGTAGCAATCATATGCATAAGCATTTTGAAATTTGTTTACATTTAATTTATTAATAATTTTTTGATTGGTCGGATAATTAAAATCAGCCACCTAAAGAGAAACAATTTGAACTGTATGTTAAACTGTTATGCTGCTGTTATATATATAGTATTTTTTCACGGATATCTAAATAAAAGAAAAAACTTACAAAGCTTAAGTTATTAATAAAAGCCAATGACCCAGTCGTTGATAACTTTTTAAAAGAAATCACTAGATCAATCTTATGAGTAGCATGTTTAGGTGGTTTTAATTTATATGGTTTTAAAATATTTGGATTCAAATCTCTACATTCTTCCGATTTATTTAACGGATAAGCTTTTGAATCTGGAGTTTTATCTTTTGCACCATCATATTTTAAAATTCCAACAACATTAGGATTTAATGTGTAATTATAATTTAAAGTTTGATTATTGAACGGCGTGCAAACTGTAAGTTTTGCGCGAATATAATAATTTTTGACTGGTTTATTAGCGTTAAGGATCACTGAATATCGTTGTGCAGTATTAATCGGAATTGTTTTTATAGTGACTTCTTTTATTAAATGGCCATCAACTTCAATAAGTGTAAGTGGATGTTCATCAATCGAAAATATATAATGAGTTGACCCACTCATATTAATAATTCTAAATCTGTATTTTTTACCCTTTTTAACAATGTATTTGGCGACTCCGTTATTCGGGTTACATAATGAATTTTTAGAGGCAAAAGCACAATTATATTGTCCTTTGCCACTAATTTCACCAGAGCTAGGGATAGGATCACCTCCTCGATAACTAGGAGAAAGAAGAATTGATTCAATATCATTTGCTTGAAGGTGATACCATTCTGACAGTGTTACAACATATTCGAAATCATATGTTTTAAGGTAGGGGTCTTTATGATTGTGAATTATTAATGGACCTTTGAGACCATCAACAAGTTGACCAGAGAAATGTGAATGGTACCAAAAAGTTCCTTTATGAAATATTAAAAAAAAATTTTAACAAAAAAAACTTTTAGTCGTAATTAATTCTGGTGAATTTACCGACATAACATACATAGCAAATGGTTAGCATTAGAATTAGGGTATGGTGAAATTAGCCACGTGCATGCTATGCCAGTATATCTTCTCTTAATTATCTAAAAGGTATTTACCATATTGGTTAACCGTAAAATTGTAGGTAAAATTGCCATGGTTGGGGATCGGACACTGTGTTACGCCTGGAACACCATCATAAAAGTTTGTGCCTGTTTGAAATATGCCGTGCCAATGGACTTAAAAACAAATTCGAATTAAAATTTTTCAGATATTAAACAGACTATTTGATTTATTTAACAAATTTATTTAATTTACGTGTAGAAAATTCTCCTAATTCATTTATTACATTAATAAGAAGTCTATCTCCATAGTTTGCTTGGATTATCGGGGCTGGGTATTGTCCATTAACAGTCCGCCTAAATTGGTAAGAATAAATCGATAAATCAATAAGTCAATAAGAAGTGTAAAAAAATTTTAAATTTTCCTTATTCTTAATAAATTTATAGATCTTACACAAGACGCGTATATCCATCAGGTGCCAACTTCTTTGTTATTAATTTTAAATTGTAACACCGAGTAACAGGACCATTACTTGGTGGTAAAAGTTTAAGAATTTTAAACATGTTTGAAGTAATATCAATGCATTCTAATTTAATTGAGTCACTTAAACTAAACAGAGCGAGAAATATGACTAGTGATTGAATTCTCATTTTTAACTACAGTGACTAAATTCTTAATTTGTAAAGAAAAAAACAAAAATGTTCAAATCCTCACTTTTTATAATTTTTATTTACAAAATTCTACATAATGAATAAATTTAGCGTCGCCTTTTTTTAATTGAAGAAACTATATACAATTAGCTAAAATCTCCAGATACATTATAAAGCGCATGTTAGATTTCGTACCCAATTTTACATTAATAGAATATATGCCAAATTTAATTTACGATAATCATTTATGGCAGAAGGGTGTGAGGGGCCTGGTAAAAGTTTAAGAATTTTAAACATATCTGAAATAATTCAGCCGAGCCGCTCAAGTTTAACGGTGCGAGAAATATGGTTAGTAATTAAATTCCAAACTTTAGCTGCAGTACAACAAATTTCAATTTATAAAAAATAGAATAGGATATGGTAGTGCACTGATCAAAATACCTGAGGTCTAATACAATCTAACTAAAAAATTATTTATAAAATACCCGTGGGTACCTTGATCGGTGACGAGTATGTTGTATGGGGTATTTTGTATGGACATCCATATATATGGGATACGTGGTGGTGTGAAAAGTATCATGCAAAATATCCAGATATTATCCTTGTTTAAAAAAACTATGTCATGCAAATTACCCGCGTATTTTAACTGGAGTCCTGAAAATGTACTTTAGTAAATGTACTACGGTATTCAATTTCTCACTTTTTTATAATTTCCATTTACAAAAATTCTGCATGATTACAAAAATTCTGCATGATTACTAAAATTTAACAGCATCCTTTTTTCATCAGTGAAAACATAATTAGATTTATATTTTAAAGCGTATGTTAAATGACGTGCCTAATTTATATTAAAGAATGAGCCCAGATTAATTTACGATTTTTAACATTGATCATTTGTAACAAAAGGGTATGAGGAGCCTGTCAACCAAGTGGCAGGGCGGCTATTATTGCATGATCAATATATGATTACCACATGTTCGAATTTAAGATTGGCTGTTTATGGAACCCTGGCAATTATTTTGTTGGATGCAGTTTCAAGTTAATTTTATGATCGCATATGATTATTATTAGAATAGGGATGTTAGAAAGTCCGCCCGGTTCTTAAAAAGTCTGGTCCTTAACTAGCTAGGAACTAGTTAACAACCCCTGGTATTATAATCACATTTGTAATCGACTTAGACTTCGGACTAGCTCTGAACTAGCTCTGAACTATTCCTAAATGGTTCATTCTAGAGATAACAAAGGAAACCATTTATTACGTAAAAACTCACATCGATCGAGATGTAACGCAGATCAGGTGAATAAATTTTTTACTATGAAATTTGAGTGATCGACACTCATGAAATTTTCGATTTTCATAGTAAATTGCAACGGTAGGACATTTTCAATCGTCTTTTTCAAGGGTTTCATAAAAGGCAACTGCACTCACGAGATATAGTGCAATGACTCAGAAAATTAATACACCGTTGTGGTTTAAGTTTGAATAAGATAGAAAATTAAACCAAAAAGAATCTTGCCCCTAAAGATAGTCTTTTGTTTATATTTTATAGTACCAGTGGTATAATAGAGCTTTACATTTCACGATTTACGAATGTTTTTTATGTAACATAAGTATTCTTAACAGATTTTGAAAGCTTTTTAACAAAATGAACGAAGTACTAAAATATTGTAATTTTGTAGTATTGTTTTATTGTCAAGGACGAACTATGAATTGAATCAAAAATTTGGGCGGAAATAAAACGATTACTGTAATAAAAACTTATAATAGAAAATAGTTTAGTTATTTAATAATAGTTAACAAACATGTATTTATTAATCAAACTAATAAAAAGCCATACACAGTGTATAAGTTTTTATATTTTTATTATTCACGGTCATATACAGCACAAAAAATTTAAATACTACATATTATTCTCTATTGCTTAAACTATTTTATTTGCACTTAGTTTTCTCTAGTAATACATTTCAAATATTATATAAATTAATATTTTAATCAGTTTATCAAACTTGATATTGACAGTATAACTAATAAAAAATAAAATCTATACAACTTAAAATATATAGGTTTGATACTAGGAAAAGGGATAAATTAACAAAAAAATAATGAGCATAAAAAATCAATTATCTTATGAAGTGTCAATCAGAATTATATGTTTTTGATACTATTCGATTTGTCTCAATGAGACAAATCGAATGGTATCAAAAACATATAATTCTGATTGACACTTCATAAGATAATTGATTTTTTATGCTCATTATTTTTTTGTTAATTCATTTCTTTTCTTAGCACTAAACTCATATTGTGAATTTCTATAAAGTGTTGCTGGCACTATAAATTAAAATATGCCAAAAATGTAAATAGAAAAGAATATAATTTTATCATGATATTACCATGAATATAGGTTGTTAAATATTAAAAAAAAAATAAAAACAGCATTAGCAATATCATAATCTATATACTACAAAATGATTTTTCTTATTTTTCCCTATATTTTTATAAAATACCCTTCTTTAAAGATGCATTTTGCCAAAAGTTCTCACTTATGCGCATCTAATAAACTATTTTCACTTCAAGATCTTTGATAACTTTAAAAGAATCTTATAAAAGAAGGTAAAATATTTGCCTATCTTTGAAGAGATTACATATTACCTAGTGATATTAGTTTTTTAAATTCTTTATATTGTTTAATTTATTGAAGCTCTGACAGTTTATTTATTTTAAGGAATGTTGTATGTTATAACTAAGACTTTGAAAGAAAATTTTAAAAATGTGATTTCATCTATTTGTATGATTTATAAAAATTATGATAAAAAATTAGATATAACCTCTTGATTGACTAATATAATATAATATAGTCTGAGAATATATTGTGATCAGTAAATGGCAAATCTGTCACTTCACCTAACAAAATGTCATATAACGTTGTGAATTTAATAGGTTAAGGTTTCAAGATGTGGATTAGATTTGGTGAGTATAAACTTTTATATTTTTATTATTTGTATTTAAGTTTCTCTATTTAATAAATTTTAATTAACTACTACTATCTATTACTATTACTAAGGAACTTCGATCCTTCCTCCCATTAGTTGGAATGACCAAACAATAAGTACTTTATTAAACTTTTATTTGCTTTTTATACAATTTTGTATTACTAACAATTTTACTATTAAATTTAGTTTGCCATTCTATTTTCTCACTATTTCACCATATACCATTATGTTATCTCAAATTTTACTTAGACAGGTAAGTATGTTTTCCTTAATTGTTTTATTTTTGTCTTATTCTATTGCAATTATACTAACCCACCCTCTATTATTTTGGATTTTAACAGTATAATGCCTTCTCAAATTTGAGCACAATTGACTTATTTTGTGTCCTTGGCATAAGAAAGCCTAATTATACATATTTTGCTATTTTTGAAGGGTCAGCATGCATGTATATTCATGGATCCTAATTGTTATTTGTGTTATGTATTATTACATATAAATCAGTATATTTTTCTGGTTTATGACAATATCAAAAAATAGACATTGATGATTATACTTTTTATGGTATAAGGATGTCAATTAGAGATTCTAGATTTTATAGTACATGATATTAACTAATCAAATTGATCAAAAAATTTTATATACAAATAACTTATTAGCAAAGTTATAAACAAACTTTACTTTTATTAAATATTTTAAATAGTAACTATATTCTATTTAATTATTACAACTATTACTAATTATTTAATACAATATTTAGTTTATATAATTAAACAATATATGGTGCTCCAAGTCACTTCTTATCAAAAATTATGTATTTTTTAAAAATCTATAAAATCTTAAGTTTTAAATATTTTTTAAAAATGTAACCAATAAAAACTATTGTTTTCATTAGTTCTATCCAAATTATCGGTTAGAATTTTTTTAAAAGTTTATAGTTTAAAGTTATAAGCAGTTAAAGTTTGGAAAATTTGTACAATTTACTATGTAATGTATAAAATTGGCACTATATTACTATATATAATCTGCACAAAATTGGCATGTCATATTAATCACATATATTGATCTACATAAAATTGGTGTGAAAGAAAATAAATAAGTCATTTTAAATCATTAAAAACCCAACCCAATAACATTAGCATTAATTAGACTAGTCTAAATATCTTTAGCTCTATAAGTATACATTATTGGAAAAAATTTGTGAATAATGGCAATTCGGCTGACAAATGATTGTCTGACATGTGCTGCTTCATAGCACTTAGCCAATCATTTGTCCAGTTGAGCCGAATTGCCATTATTCACAAATTTGTCTAATAATGGTATTATTTGACAATTTATTGGTATGGAGTCACATGCTGATTTTTTTTTGAATATTGAAAAACTATAATTACATTGTAACACATGAAAAAAATAACAGTAAGTTTTTCATGATCATATGAGTTTGTTAGATAATTATTATTCTTTTCTTACATATTAATATAGAGATTTTTTTTTATATTTGATTAAAATTTCATAAGCACTTTCTTGCATTTAATTGTCTAGATACATATGTATGTACTATGCCCACAGTATGTTAGATGCCAATAACTTGAATTTCGATCATTAGAATGTTTCAAATATTATTGACCAATCATAAGCTTATGTGTTTATCAGTTAGATCAATTAACTTTATGCAGAGTCTATTATACTATTGCATAATTATATTACCAAATCAGTAACAATACATTAAAAATATGTCATTAATTTGAAGTTTAATATAGTAAACATACGTATAAGATTTACTCAAGAATAAATTAATAAATAAAGTGAATAAGTTAACAAAATACAAACCTCATTATAAAAGTAGCAGGTTATGGTTTGAGATGTAATGAGAAAGTAAGAAAGAAGGTGTTAAGATAGAGAGGATAGTAATGAAATTGAATAAAAGATAAAAAAAAATCTTAACTAATGCTGTGTAGATATGAAAAACTTGAAATTGCACCAAAACCAGGTTGGATTGTATGTGGAATGTCAGCTGTATAACAAGAAAGAATGTGGACATAAAGTAAAGCCCTCTTATACTTGAACTGTATCATGCCAATAACAACAATTGAACTCAACTCTTCTAAGCAAGAAAAAAAAAGTTTAAATTAATCAATTAGTAATTTGACACATTCAAAAGATCAGTGAAACGAGAGTTTAAAAGTAATACTTATCCATATAATAATGTGAGGTTCTAGCTTAACTAAACCCGTTTATCATGACAATTATATATATATTAAGTGTTCATTATAAAAAAATTTTTATGCGAAGCTAATCTAACAAAACTAATTTAATGTATTAGAACAATTACAATAACTTTAAAATCGCAAATTACAAAAACTTTTTGAGACAGTGTTTTAAACACTAATACACAAACCCGATTGAGTTTACTTCATAATGATAAGTTAATTCAGCTGTGATAACAGCTTGTTTCAGTTGTTTCAGTTAAATCTGATAAGGTAAAATATTAATTATAAGTTTCCTCTACTCTATTTAATTATTATAATACTAACGCTAAAACTTTCTTGAAAAATTAATCCAAATTATAAATATACTTAATACGATTTTTAAACAAAAAGAAGGATAAATAAAATTTGAATATATCTTTATTAATGATAACATATATCAAAAACTTATATAAAGAGATACTTTTCACTAAAATTATATTCTAAACTACTTGATTTTATGATACCATTTTATTTCATATCATATTTATAAATTTTGACAATGCTAAAAACAAAATATAAAAATGCTGCAAAGAATCGTATACTTACACAAAGTAGAGATAGTAGTGGAAGATTTTCAAAACCTGCAGATACAGAAAGTAGTGATTCAGAATATAGCGATCTAGAATATAGTGATCCAGAACTTTTGGTTTATAAATCCGAGAACAATAATGAGGAATACTTTAATAATAAAGAGACAGAACTTGATAATGAAGAAGCTGAGCAGTTAATTTATGAAAATAATTCTTTTTATAATCTTCAGTAGGATAATGAGACATCTAGTGGTCAGTTACCATATTATTCTGGAAGTTCAAAATGTACTCAGCAATGCAAAAATAAAGGATTATGAGAGGCAGCACAAGGATCAATGAGCTTGGACAATTTTTTTAAACCAGTAAAAAAATTAGAAGTTAAATATGAGATGTCAGATTCAGACGTAAGCGATTCAGATATAGAAAATAACAGTTCTATTTCAGAGCAAATAAATAAATTAAAGAATAAACTTAAAGATGTGAAAAATATGAATGCTTATGAATATCTTTACTTTTTGGCTGTGCATAAATATCTTACTGCAATCTTCAACCATAAAGAGTCACATTCTCGCATAAAACTAAGTCTCGAAATATTACAACAAGTCTTTCAACGTGGTCCATAGATGGCACATCACATTCATGAGTGGTCAAAAAATTGGATTGCAACAGAAACTTTACCTGTCTCTAGGCAAGGACAACGAAAATACATATCAACTCTTATTGATGATGAGGATGTGCAAAGTTCTTGTTTGTGTTTTATCTGTACTATAAGAGAAAGATTAACTGCTAATAAATTTCAAAACTATGTTCAGAACAATATCTTACCTAATGTTACTAGCTCTTGCACTTCAATTTTATTAGAAACAGCTCGAATTTGGCTTCATCATCTTGGTCTCATATATCAACGGCATCAGCAAGGTATTTATTATAATGGCCATGAACACCCTGATGTTGTACAATACCATGCTGTATTTATTGAAAAAATGAAAGATCTTGAAGCTTTAATGCCATAATTTGTTGATGACAATATAGAAACAGTCATTAACTCTGAAATAAGTGAAGAAAAACAAGTTCATATTCTTGTCACTCATGATAAGTGTACATTCTATGCTAATGATAGTCATCCTTCAGTATAGGCTCCTCTTGGTATGCCACCACTATGTAAAAAAGGAAAGGGTAAAGCACTTATAGTTTCAGAATTTTTAACTGAGACCCATGGTCATCTTACAATTACACCTGCAAAAATAAATGAATTAAACCTGTCGCCAACATTCCCACAAGAAGCTTGTATTATTGTTAAACCTGGAAAAAATGATGATGGCTGGTGGAATGCTTCTGACATGCTTATGCAAGTATCCAATAAAGCAATTCCTATTTTTGCCCAAACTGTATTGATGTCTTTGCATTTGATAATAGCACCAATCATAGTGCTCTCACAAGTGATGCACTATGTGCTAAAAATATGAATCTTTTTTCTGGTGGTAAATAGTCAAGATTACATGATGGCTGGTTTATTAATGAACAAGGTGAACAAGTTACTCAGCCAATGATTTTTCCCAATGATCTTCCTCTTGACGATGATAATTATATATTTCGTGATCAGCCAAAGGGTATTCAACAAGTACTTTGTGAGCATAAGCTATGGCCTAATAGTGGTCTTAGATTAAAATGTAATAAGAACTATTGTGATCCAAGTGTACTTAATTGTTGTGCACATCATCTTTTGTCTGCATAGCCTGATTTTACTATGTAAAAATTAGCATTAGAGGAACTTATTGTTGAACGAGGACATATTTGTGTATTTTATCTGAAGTTTTACTGTGAGTTAAATTTCTTTGAATGATACTGGGGTGCCACAAAACATTATACTCATGAGCATTGTGATTATTTTTGGGCTAGATTACAGATTACTGTACCTGAAGCACTTGATTCAGTATCACTTACAACTATACATCATTTTGCACAAAAAGCATGATGTTATATAGATGCTTATAGATGTGGACTTACTGGCCAGATAGCAGAATATGATGTATGTAAGTATCATTCTCATAGACATATACCTAATGATATTGATTTAGAGTTGTGCTAATAGTTTGTATCAAAGAATAGGAATTACCTATTATTTGTATGAGTAACATAAAAAAAAAATACACATTTTTATTATATTGTATTTGGAATAAAACATAAAATCTAAGAATATTATATATGTTGATATAAGTATGTTATAGACCCAGGTTTCCTGGGTCTATTGTTATAAAGATTATTATTGTCAGATGATTTATACAATAAATTTTATTTATTTAACAAGTTTAAAAGTTATACGGAAGTTAGATTAATAGGCAGTAATCTTGAGGTGCATGGAATGACTCAAAATACAACTAATAATGAATATTTGATGGTATTTCAATATGCAAACAGAGGAAGTCTTCATAAGTTCCTATATAATAAAGGACTTGACAGTGTTTAATTTAAAAATTACGATCAATAATTGTGATGCTAACTAAAGGTTTTATCGCCACTATGTACCATATCTTACTATTAGTTACCTAATATGTTACAGTTATTGGTGATTACCTGTTATTTATTTATTCGACCTGTACAATATTAAGTAAATATATATCAAATAAACTTTTTAGTTTCTTATTCATTATTTATTGCAAGCATATAAAGTTTATCTGTCTTTATATCATACTATCATACCTTTAAAAAATTATCTACCTTTCTAGTTTTTTCTGTCTGTATTTTAGTGTCAAAGAGTTAAGCAATTACTGTAGTGACTGCTATCTATCTCAGACTACTCTAACTTTACTTTTAGGTCTTGCTCAGCACAACATACCTTCGGACATACACATACAAGATATTCTTTGTAGGTTTATACTTAAATGATATTTTTTACTTTCTCAATTTTTCAGTCGAAAAGACTGTTGGATTCTTTATTTACATTTTACTATTTATGCTATTTAAACAATTGCATATTTCATATTACACTTTAACTATTTATTTGTTATTAATTAATTAAACTTTTAATTGTTCTCCAATTAATTGTCATATTCATGCATTTGATTATGCCCCGATGCTAATTTCCCACCATGACTCTGATCGATCATATGATCAATCACATGAGTCATTTGATTTATATTTTTGTTTAACCTTTACAATCATTGACACACTTAACATTTCTTTATCTATTTGTATACCTCTCACTAGGTATAAGGGCTCTTCGAAAGCTATGCAACATTTTAGACAATAGAATCTTCCAAATTTGTTTTCAAAATTTTATATCTAGTCAAATTCAAATTTGGCGTATCTTGTTATATCTAGCTAAATTTGGCACACCTTGAATATATATAGCTAAATTTGGCGTACCTTGATGAGAAGTGACTTGGAGCACCATAGCAATATTAACACAAAGAATCAGGTTAATAATGGCCAGACCCAATGTACAGGACAGGCTATGGTATCCTGCACAGCTGTGCAAGCTGAGCATATAATGAGCAAATCTATAGAAGAACTCTCTACTTCCTTGAACTCCATTTCATCATCTTACATTAAGGAAGAACTACAAGACTCAGCTTACAATACACTATATGATCCAGACTTATACTATAACCTGTGATTAGCAGAGTTAAAATTACCTTTATTTCTATATCTCCAAATACTTGGCTCTTTTTTAAAACACATTCATCAGTATAACTATACACAATTAAACAATTTCAACTATATATTTATAATATCAATTAAAATTGATTATAGTGAATGCTATATACATTTATTATACAAATTTCAATCTTCATCTGAATATTTTTTTCCACAACTATCAGGCTATATTTATTATTCATCTATACCCATCACTTTTAAATTTTCTTCAACAAACAACAACACACTGAATACAAATTTAATTATAAAAGAAAATGATATAGACTACTCTTATTTTCAACTAGTAGAAACTATCTTAGAAGGTCACAATGAAAGCTTCATAGCTAAACACTACTATGACAACATTCAATTTAACATCTACTACAACAAATTTCTATTCTTCAACTACTTATAATTGCTTTCTCATTTACAAACTATTATTTCTTTCTTATAACACATCCACAGCTTTGGCTATTCATCTGATAATGCTTGTGTCTATACTCTAACTATTTCTATTAAAAATGATCATAGCAAAGCTTATGTTTATCTTCTATTAGAAGCTAAACTATTTATCTTACCAATTCAAGCTATCTGATATTATCTGAACATTTAGCTAAAATCAAATACATCAACATCAGTCTTTCCTATATCAGTATCTTTAGCCCCTATTTTTAGCAATTTAACACAATCTAGAAACCCTAATACCTTATCTCTAAATCTCACAATCTGTACCCACAATGTTCAAGAATACAATGAAAATCTCAAATAGCAAGTCTGGAAGAATTACTGTATCACTCATTTCCAAACATTATCAGTATAACAGAAACTAAAATAGTAGAAGATAATGCTATTACCAAATTTCATAACTCAAAACACTACTCTTATTATTGGTTATGTACTAATAGTTCCAAAACAGAAACTGCACTCATGATTCATAAACACCTCATATCTCATATACACAACATTATTATTCTTTCTGGCTATACTATAGCCATAGACCTCTTTTTTAAGCATGACCACAAATTCTAAATCATCTCTATATATCTATCATGTAAAACACACAATTAAGACTTCAAATTCAAAATACCATTATTTAATGGATCTAAGAAGCTACTAACTAAAACATCTTACCTATAATACTAGGTGACTTTAATATACTACTTAACAACTCTACCTTCTAATTTATTAAATACAAACTACTGCAATTTCTATAATATAATAATATTTATAATCTAGCAGATCATACAAATATATCTTCTCATACTTAATATAGCAGTAGACATCACAGTACTATTAA